AAAATCATTTATTTTTCGTACTCCTCAAATAATTATTTTCATTGCATAAATGGCAAAAAATCATGAAAGCTAAAAATTAGTCATTGACTCACATAACCTAATTCACCCCCTCTTAGATTGCATTTGGGCCAACAATTGGTATTAGATCAAGGCTCTAGCCATTTAGTGTGACAACAATAGAGCAAAAGATCATGGCAACCATAGGAGGGAATGTTGTTGAAGGGCAATCCATCGCTAGACCTCCATTCTTTAATGGAAGTGACTACACATATTGAAAAGCTAGAATGAAGATTTGCATTATATCATTAGGGGATACATTGTGGGACATAATAGAAGATGGATATACAAAAGCCATAATAGATAAGAAAGAATGGGCCTAGTGATAAAAAAATTAGATACATCAAATGCAAAAGCTATGAAGACGTTATATTGTGCACTAGATAGGAATGAATTCAATCGTATCTCTACATGTGAAATCACTGGAAAAATTTGGCATATGCTTGAAGTTACACATGAGGGAACTAGAAGAGTTAAAGGAATCCAAAATCAAATGCTAGGACATGATTATGGGTTATTTGAAATGGATCCTCAAGAAACCATCACTCAAATGTTCACTCATTTTACTAACATTGTGAATGCATGGAGATCTCTTGGTAGAACAATTGTAGATGAAGATATTGAAAGGAAAATTCTATGAAGCCTACCAAGATCTTGGGATGTTAAAGTAACGGCCATTCAAAAATCCAAAGATCTCAAACTACTACTCTTGGAAGACCTTCATGGATCTCTTTTGAGATGAACAACAAGAGAGGTGATAAAGAAGAAAGAAAGGAGAAGAAAACCATTGCACTCAAAACCACTAAAGCTATGAATGAAAGTGATTAAGAGGAAGTGGGAAGTGATGAAGAACGTGCTTCCATCACAAAGAAATTCAAAAGATTCTTCAAGAATCAAAGCTCATATCGAAAAGGAAAAAATTTCAAGAGAATTGAATTCATATGCTATGAATGCAAAAAACCGGGACACTTCAAGTTAAATTGTCCACTATCGAAGAAATTCAACAAAAAGAACAAGAAAGTTGCAATGAAGGCAACATGAAGTAATAGTGACAATAATGATTTCGAAGATGAAGAAAAGAGGCAAGTAGCAAACTTGTACTCTGTGGCATTGGAAAACAATGATGAGGTACAATCGTTATCAAATGAGCATGAAGAATTAACGTATAATGATATGTGATGCTATAAATGAATTGCATGACGACTTGCTTAGCCTCACTAAGAGATATAAGGATTTTAAAAAAAAATTGGTTTCTTTGTCAAATGAAAATGAGGCTTTGAAAATGGATAATGCGAAGCTCAGCTTAAAATGCCTCTTTAAAAGGATATTCTCATGGTTCATCCGTAATTGAAAAGCTAAAAGGTGAAAATGATGAGTTGAGAAGACAGAATCATGACCCAAACAAAATTGTCATGAATTTCACCCAGGGGAGTGAGAAGTTGGAAAAGCTTCTCTGGCGAAAGATGTGAATTCGACAAAGCCAAGCTAAGCTTTAGTAATGATCAAAATCAAAAGATATATAAATTTTTTTTTTTTGTTGTGAAAAAGTGAAAATCAAGCATCTCATTAAAGACATGTTATTATTGTCATAAAGTAGGACATCTTGCATATAGTTGTTATGTTATGAGATCACGTCAAAATGAATGCATAAATGGATCATATACTAACTATCAAGGATCCAATATGATTTGGGTGCCAAAAGCCAAATAGCCAGCATTGGCAACTTTGCATATGTTTTAAATCACTTGTGAGTTATGTGATATATATATATATATATATAGATATGTATGTATATATTTGAAGTTAATAATTGAAAATGTGTTTGATAATTGCATTACATTTATATCTAATTATTTTGAAAATGTAAATTGATTTGAATAACTTTCTTAATAAAATGTCTAGTCATAGTTAAAGATGAATCTTCCAAGAATGTTACTCTTTGGTTTATTATTATTGATATGCATAATTGGAACTTTGGAAACAAAAAACTTATGCTACTTCACATGCATATTATGACTCATATCACTTGAAATAAGTGACTATTTATGGTAGTTGAAGAGTGTTAGAATGGATGCATATTGAACATCCTTGAATCATTAAATGGTCAACTATTCCACTTAGTAATCCCAAAGTGCATATCCTTTGAAATCAATTAAAAAAGGGATTCTATAAATTAATGTCTACATTAAACCTTTATGATTAGGTCATATTTGTTGACTCCTTTGTATGCTTATCTAAGTGCATAAAAAGTATGGTACCATTGTTGTGCATTTGTGTTCCGTTGGATAATACTAGAGAGCACATCACTGTGACAATGTACTTCCAAGCATAAAGATGATTTTTATGGATGGCAAACATGACCACTTAAAATAACAGTGCATCTCGAAGAAGGGAGTTAATACATGTTACATTGAATATATGGCTAGTCATAGGCCTTGATTTCTTTCTCTCAATCAATAAAACTTAGATAATCTTGAAAGTTAAGATAATTATCACTTGTGACAAGAATTATGAAAGGTTTAAGCACAAAATGAATTAGTATTCTTAGTCATATGGCTTACACTTTGGTAAGGTTAGTTTGTTTAAGTAGAATTTCTCTTCCACACATAGGTCATACACCCCATGATGCTTCTATGATGCTAGAAAGTTTAAGCACATCATGGATGTCTTTTTGATATCAAACCACCACATAGGTGAATTTGGAACTTAAGGAAGACACTTGGACTAGCAATTTGAGAGGATTTCAACTATCTTGATATTAGATATTGAATGGCTATGAGATTTTGTCTCCACTAAGGCAATTAGACTCTCTTGATATATGTCATGTGCATATTTGATAAGTTGTAAACTTGAGACTAAAATGACCGTTTGTGATGTATGACATTTTTAGTTAAGAAAATGTGCACAATAGAGATATGGAATTAAAACTTGTTGGTAAGGTTTATGATAAATCCCCCCACCAATGGGTTTTTGGTCTAATGGTACTCTTTACTTTACAAAGACTTTGTCTTCTTTAGGTCAAGGGTTCAAGCCCCCTTCTCCCCTCCCCCCCAAAAAAAAAGTAAAAGTTTTATTAAAAAAAATTATAATAAATCCCCCAAAGTTTAATGATGATTTGATTTAAAAGTACATGAATTCTTATATTAAATGTGCTAGAATTTAAAATCTTTGAGGATCATATACTATATGGATATATCTTCAAGATTATGCTTTAGAATATGATTACTTGGATAACTAGTACTTGATAGACCTCATTTTTCTGTGATATATATATGCATTATTTGCTTGAATAAGGAGGAGCATATATTGAAGTAGAAAGGGGAAGAAATGTAAAATTGATGTCTCGTGTTGCAAATGTTGAATGATAGCCCAAATGTGGAGAAATGAGACCTACCTTGATTTAAAGTTGAAAATGATGGACATGCATATAAGTAACAAAAATCATAATTATTGAGTTAATGTGTTGTGATATTCAAAACTTCGACATAAATAGGATATGAATATGCTTAGGGGGAGCATATATTTATTTGTTTTGATGGATATAGGATTTTTTTATGTTATTGATGATGTCAAAGGGGGAAGAAGTGAGACACAGTGAAAATATTAGCATTGATAGATATGCACATACTTAGGGGAGCCTAAGTCTATTGGTATAATGTAATTGATATATCTATTTGATGATGTCAAAAGGGAAAAAAATATTTCAATGATATATATTCATTTGACATTGTAAATATGCATATGTTAAGTAAGAAGATGAATTATAGGCATTATTGCAATAGTGTGTTTGTTATCATAAAAAAAGGGAGAGAATATTGATTGATTAGTTGGTTAAGTAAGGTTTTGATGATAACAAACACTCTTGTATTACTAATCATCTTCGTGTGTTTTACATGTGTGGAGAACGAGGTCCACTGCATGAAAAATAGGGAAGTCTTGAATAAGAAGCTCTTTCACCTAGCAAACCAAATTCAAAGCCTTGAATATTCAAGTTATGAATCTTACCATGCTTATGGAGCTGTTCAGTGAGTCTAAGCCTAGAAATGTATCACCTATTAAAGGTTAATAAGGGAGCGAATGATGTTTCAAGGAAGACACCCTTGAGAAGGTAAAGAATATGGTGCCAGACGTTGTCGGAGCCATAGCGGCAGCTGTTAGAGTAAGTATTACTAAAAGCCATAATACTGTTTTTAAGTCCAATAGAAGTTCCTTTCTTCCACCCTTTTATTTGTTAAGTACTAATTGCTTCTCTTCTGATATTGGTTGCAGAGGATAATCCAGTAAGTCACAGAATAGGGTGGTTTGGTGGAGTATTGATCGAACTTCTCATCCTAAAGTTGGAGGTTCAAATTTTAGAATTCACATTAGAACTCGATAGTTGAACACTATACTAGTTCCCGGGAGGGGTAATGGGCGTGGCAGGGGCCTTGTGATCTCATCAACGAGGGTCTATCAGGGTGGTCTCTAGCGCTCGTCTTTGTCCCATCCCCTTTTTCACTAGCAAAAAAATAAAAGAAGAGAGAATAATCCAATATGAGGCTCTGAAAATAGTCGTTCCAGGTAACTTCCCAATGTGTTGTCTTCCAATCTATCTTACAGGCTTCCAGACTAACAACTCAGAAGCTTACGATGAATTTCAATGCTTAAAACACTTGAACGACTTTTCAATGCATCACAACGAACATCTACGACAAGCTATTGAAGAGTAGGAGGAGGAGCAACCAAAAGCCATTATTGTGTACGGAGATTACTACAATGCCTTCCAGTGGCTTTTCCATAATGCTGCATTGGTTTAGTACCTCAGACTCCGAGCAAAAAAATATAGTTCGATGATTGAGATAAATTGAAATTACAATTTTTTTTTTTANCCGAGCAAAAAAATATAGTTCGATGATTGAGATAAATTGAAATTACAATTTTTTTTAATAAAAAAAATAGGCATCCTCAGGATTTGATTCTTCATCTGTACAAAAAGCTTGATGCGGTACTGGAGCTAACTATAACTTCAGTCTCACTCTGATGTGTGTATCTCCAGAGATTCCCGTTTGTTCCAACCCTCGCAGATAGATCAGCTGGGATGGAGTTCATATGACCCGGCAGGCATATCGGATTATGGCCAACTGGTCATTCATTACATTTCACCCAAGATTCACTGCATCTTTCATTAATAGTGATTAAAAGTTTTTGGCTTGAATCTAAAAATGGTGTTCAAACGGATCTACGCAGTTTCAGCTGGTCTGCACTGTCCATTCGCGGGCAGACTTGGTCTGTATTAATTTGCATCTTTGCTCAAGTCATGATTAAAGGCGGTTAAAAATGGATAGTTTGATGTCTTTGTAGGTAAGAGATCCAGTCAAAAGTAAGGCTCTTGAATCCAGTGGCTGTTGAGAAGAAAGAGACCAAGAGACATCTCACCCTCTTCCTTAATATAGTAAGTGAGTATCATGTTTTCGGTCATTCTACTCTAGGTCTAGAACAATATATGGGCAAAATCTTCAACATTGTTTTCTAACATGCGCTTGTCTACTAAATGCTCTTAACTCATCCTGTGTAATCTGTCCTGCAGAAAATAAGACACTGATTACAGAGGACCAAAGTCCTACGAAATGAGATATTTGTAAGCTCCCAGCACAACTCTCAAAGCCTTATTTGAGTTGCTGTTCCTGCTACTTCCCAGCAATATTACTGGACTATCACTTCCCTGAATCCCCATGCAGCTTTTCTTTTCAGGTGATTTCCATTAGGTCCAGGTATTCGATATCTGGGTCCCATGTATTAGACAAGAAAAAGGAAAAGTCAAATGCTAGAAACCTTCTAACTATACCATAAACATGTGATCATATTCTTATATATCCCCAGGGCAAAACAAATAAGAGGAAGCCAATGTTCAGCACATAACCACCTGGCAGCCAAAAAGACCATTTCAGGGCCATAGCAAGAGTATCATCTGCCGGTTGACAGACTCCAACCATCACATATCAGTTCTCAAACATACATAATTTCGGGTTTCAGTCATAGGGATTGCAGTTTTCCTCACCAAAACACAATACATAGCCTATGACCGATTTTGCGATGGCATCCTCTCAGATCCATGCCTCGGGCGAAAGCTGTTGGACCTGATACCAGAGTTGGACCCACCAGCAGCCTGATGAAATGGGCCCCAAACTGGGTCTCTTTCACCATGGCTCAATGGGAAAGAAGGCAAGTGTTCTTGTTCCCAAGTATGAAAGTGATTCGACACAGTATTTTCTGCTTCTTGGAGGTTTCTGCCAGATGAACTCGATGGGAAAAAGATGGTGCCACTAGTCTGATCTGATGATGAGGACGCTGGCCCAACTTGAGCCAAGCCTCTATGGCTACTGGATCTTCGTGTAGCAGAGGTGAAGGGTGTGCGTACGGCTACTGAATTGCTGGGTTGCTGAAAATAGGCCTGAAGAGCCTGAGCACGGTCACGAGCCCGGGCAGCGCTGCCAGGATAAGAAGGAATCATCGAGGAGGGGATTGAGCTCCTAGCTCTTGCAGTTGAACTGTCAGAGTACATGTGAAGTCAAAAGATTACAGTCATTAGAAAAGAAACACAAGAAATTTAAAAAAGCAACTTCCTCCCCATCACCCCCACCCCCACCCCCACGCCACCCCACACAAAAATTTTCTTTAGGGCTAATCATGGATTACCTTGCTATGGTGTAACTTAAAACAAATTACCTCCTCCTACTTCAAAAAACCAACACCCCCACGATTTTGAACCGAACTATAGTCGTTAGGTTCCATCTCAATTAACAGAACATGTGAAAATGACTTATTTAACCTTCATCCAAATGCGTCTCTATTCTTTATTTGATGTATCCCAATTCTTTAATTGACTAAGTTATACCAATTACACAAGCAATCTCCTCTTCCTCACTCAACCTTCTGCACTCATTCTCGCTCCCCTTGCCACTGCATATATAAATAGCTGGTTTCATTTGCATGAAAAAAGTATACTCTCTCTCTCTCTCTCTCTCTCTCTCTCTATATATATATATATATATATATATATATATACACACACACACACACATATACCCACACATGTAACTAAAATCTCTGATAAGGGTTATCTCTTTCCTTACAATGCACACATATATACAAGTACGGGTGGAGCTGTCATTCCGTATTAGGGCGGGCAAGGTATGACCAAATAATTCACCAACTGATATAAAAAAATTTAACTTCAAACACTATAAAATGTATTATGATTCAAGACTAAATTACTATATGAAACAATAAAACCAGTTTTCATTTAACATTAACAAAATATGTACAAAAAAGGACATAAAATAGCTTTTTCTTAGTACATTCCAAGTCAACCATATATTAAAGTAGAACACATGTTTTTTCAAATCTCAATAAATCTAAAAAATTGCATATTTAATTAATTTTACGCTAAATGTCTGCATAATTTTATTTCATTGTATACAATGACAAAGTTTGTGGTAAAATCATTCTTTATGTTTTTTTTAAGAAGCCTAGTTCAGATCATCCCCATCTTGTTGAGAATTGATTTTGAAAAAGAGTAGAAAATACTTTTGGGTTAGGGTATTTTGCCTTTTGCATCTAAATGTGTATTACTAGGTTATGGTTTACTAACTAACACAAAAAAGGTCAGTGACAACTATCCAATAATTTTTCAAAAAATAGGAGCCCATGTACTAGATAGAAGCTATGTATTATTTTGGTAAATATATAATCGGGTCAGAATATTTCACATTTATTTTGGCCAATATATATAATCGATTTTCGTATCAGGAATAGAAATCCTAGATTTGATAATTATATCGAATCGGGAATCGCAAGATTCGACATAAAATTATAACTATGATAAAAAATAACATGTACATATTTAAAGTAGGCAAGATGTTAAAAAATTAAATATTATTTGAATTTTTTTTAAAACAAAATCAATTTATGGTATTGACATGATCACATCGTCTAAATGAAAATATGCTAGCCTTTATAAATCCTTATAAAGCTACAATTAAGTTTGAAACTCTATTACTTCTTTCTTAATACATAATAAATCGTTCCCTCAAAACGGTCCCGATGAAAGATGCATTGATTTTTAACCAACAAATAGCTATTGTATTTCTACCAATGAAGTTAAACTAAAATAGGAAAAACACATATTGATTCGAACATGTAAATTTAGAAAATCACTTCTCACATTCAATTGAAAAATAAATTTTTGATGAAAAATAAAAAGAATAACATATATTGAAGAAGTAGGATATGTTCGGATTTGGTAGCTGTTTTTGAAGAAGAAATAGGATACCTAGAGTGAAGGAGATGTGATATCTGTGTGATGTTCACAAACGCTCGAACAATTACTTCAAAGGCAGAAACGCGATTAGGAGATATAGAGAGAGACGTGAGTTTTATATTTGGAGGTGGGCCTCTTCTAGCAAAGCAGCGTCATTTTACTAAAAATAGGGTTCAAAAATAATAATTAAACGAATTATACGATTCCTTCGATTTGAATCGAATCATACAATTCATGCAATTCAGGCGTTGTTCTCGGCCAAAAACGATTCTATAGTAAGATATGAATCGAATGTGGATTAAACTGAATTGAATTGAATCGTACGAATCGAATTAAAAATTGTACGATTTTGATAACAATGCCACAAAAATACTAAATTGAATAAGTGTGGTCCTTAACATTACTCATTTGCTGTCATCCAAAATCACGGGGCCAATTGGTTGCTCAAGATCTTTGGTCTCTACCAAAGACCAAACAAAAAAAAAGGGATCACCTCTTATGGACTTGTTGAGAATGATTATGATCTAATTCATAGCCTATAAGAAGTAAAAAATGCTATAGTGGGGCCCTCACAAAGAAAAAAAGATTACAGTCAGTTGGGCAATGATGAAGCGACATTGCTTCTTTAGCCAAACAAAGGAATCCCCAACTCTTAAGGTGGCTTAGCCCCTAAGGCATGCCACCAACATTCCTCTCAAAACCATTCACATTGAATTTCTCCCTCCTCCCCCCAAATTCATCACTTCTCACTTACATTGAACCATGCATTCAGGCACGGGTTATCCCTAGTATACATATATGTATACCCAAGACCCTCACTCTCTCTCCATCTTTGCTGGAGTTTCTAAGCTCTCATAATTGGAGTGGTAAATGATTTATAACCAATCAAGCCCATACAAAACCCTTATCAAAACATTAAAATAAATTCAATGTTGGACATAACAAAAAATTATACTAATTTATTCCAGGTCAATGGGTCATGGGTAAACTTGTTACCCATCAATTATAATTTTCCAGAGCGGAAACCCAAAGTAGATCTGCATATTTTATTGTTTCTCTCTCACACACACACAAACTATATATACACATATATTATACACGTGACAATTGTTTGGGTGGGCTTATTCTCACCCCTTAAATCTCTTTTTCCACCCTATTTAATCATCTTAATTCAAACTATTATGTTCACCCCATCAATTACTAAACTCATTCTGTTTATATTCACTAATTAAAAATTAAATTCATTCAATTTTATTTTAACCTACAATAATCAAAATTTCGTTCCAGTGTATTATTTCTGTACAAAAATATTTCATAAGCAAAAAAAAAATTAATAATTATTTTTAAAGTATTAGTCAAAAAATGTCAAAATATCTTAAAACACCTCAAAATAAAGACATTGGGGAAAATATATCAAAATACCTTGAAATAATATAGATCACCTCAAAATATTGGAATTTCGCTTCAATTATTTTTTTTTTTTCGATTTCTTTGACATATTTAATAGTTTAATTAATTGGGTATAAATGGAGTGAACTTAGTAACGAATGGGGTGAATACAGATGGGATGAACTTAATAGTTTGGAGTAAGATGATTAAATGGAGTGGAAAAAGAGGTAAGGGGTGGGAATGGCTCCACCCTAATTGTTTCTCTCCCTTACTCTACACCGACGTATTTTTACACGTATCTATACCTAAATACAAAAGCCCCCTACCCCCCCCCCCCCCCCCCCCCCCCCCCTCCCAATTCCATTTTTAAGGGTGTTTTTGGTGTTTTA